AGCCTGACTACTTAATCACAAAAAGCATTCTGATGGCTTCCCAATATGGCACCAAAGCTGTGCCAAGCCATGCCAGCTGCATGTGGAAGGGCTGGGCCACCATCTCCCAGCACTAGTCCTGTCTATCTGAGAAGGCCTGCCGCTAATGAGATGAACCAGAAGTTAGGACCGAATTCTGTTTTCACAATGAAATGGACCTAGAGCCTTATCTAGAAAGTGACTAGAAGGAAAGAAGACCTCACACTTCCCAAAACATGTATTATGAAGTTTATTGCCTTTAAGGGTCTAGGCGCATGAGGCTCCATATTTTGGATGCATTACACAATTATTCCCTTAACAATCTATGATTTGGGCAACTTCTTCAGGTTCCCTCCCACTGTGGGAGCTTTTCTGTCCTCTCAATAAATCCTGCTTTCTTTCTCACACACACACACACAAAATCTATGATTCATTCAACAAATATGTATTGTATGCCTATTGTGAGCTGCTCACTGTGCTGGGCCTCAAGTATGTAGTCATTTCAAAAAACAAAGCTGAAGAATAGTCCGATGTGGACCTCAACCTGGCTGGGCTCACCGTCTTGATGCAGCGAGCAGTGTCACGTGGCGATAAGTGCCAAAAAGGGAGGGCTCCTGTACTGGGGAAGAGTACTCACCTTAGATGAGGCAGTTTCTGAAGAGATGATTTTCCACCTGGGACCAGAAAACTAAAGAGTTGTCAGCCAATGAATGACTGGAAAAGAGGATATTCCAGGCTTAGGGAGCAGCATGTGCAAAGAGCAAAGAGCTTGGCGGGTTTGAGGAAACCAAGAAAGGCCACGGAGGTGAGGGTGCAGTGAGAGGAGAGGTAGAAGGCTGGGCAGGAGCCATGTTGCATGAGTCCTTGCAGGAGGCCTTGTGGCCAGGGTGAGGAACTTGGATGCCACCCAAAGTGCAGAGGGAGGCTGTAGGACTGCACAAGGGAGTGACACCCACTTGTTTATATTTTTTTCAAGGTTGTGCTGGCTGCTGGGTAGACCCTGGATCGGAGGAGACAGAAATGGAGGGAGGAGGCTGTTGCGGAAGTTGTTCCCTTTTGGACGAAACACAACAAAGAAGGAAGAAAGGGCTGATTCTAACAGGCAGAACCAAGTACTTCCCTAAGGTCGCAACAGTCCATGCTAAGGAGACAAGATTCCTCCATCCCACTCTCCCCTTTAAGGGCAAAATAGAAAATCCTAAACTCAGGAGAACCCAGGAACCAAACGACCCTAGAGAAACCATGCTGATAGGCCCTGCCCCGGATGTCTTTAACGTGTCCTGCCCCCTCTAATATGTACAGTGTTCAAGGGAGCCACAGGAACAGAATGATCTGGAACCTCTTCTTGTATTGACTGAAACTCAGTTCAGAAAGCATCTAATGGACTCTTAAAATACCAAGTAGTAAAGCTGTCAGTATATATTCAGAAGTTATAGTATTGGGTGGCAAGAGGAGGGAAAATATGAATATACTCATCATAGGAAGTTGAAATATGCACATGCAGGTGGTTGGCCGGGCTTTCTTGTTTATCAACTGTCTGAGGAAGAAGGTGATATGGCAATTGTGGATCACAGTACTTTTTTTAGCCCCTGCTGATCCCCTTCAAGTCAGTTTTGATTACTCATTATTCATAGTTGAGATACTGAGATTGGAGAACGGTAAGAAACAGCAACATAAACAACCCCAAGAAATGTCTCAGTTTTGCCAGTAAGTTACCTTGTGGGCTAAAAGGGGTAGGAGAGAAGAAAGACCACAGATCTGTTGAACATTTAGCAGTTCAGGTGACCCTTGAACAACACGGGTCTGTAAAATCTGCGTATAACTTTTGACTCCCTGAAGACTTGACTAATGGCCTATTTTTGATCAGAACCCTTACTGATAACATAAGGAGTCATTTAACATATATTTTGTTGTATGTGTGATATACTGTAATCTTATAATAAGGTAATCTAGAGAAAAGAAAACATTATTAAGAAAATTATAAACCGGGCTCAGTGGCTCAGCCTGTAATCCCAGCACTTTGGGAGGCCAAGGCGAGTGGATTGCTTGAGCCCACGGGTGCGAGACCAGTCCAGGCAACTTGGCGAGACCTCATCTCTACAATAAATAAAAAACAATCAGCTGGTCATGGTAGCGTGCGCCTGTAGTTCTGGCTACATGGAAGGCTGAGGTGGAAGGATTGTCAGAGCCCAGCAGGTCAACGCTGGGGTGGCCATGAGTGTGCCACTGCACACTGGGTGACAGAGTGAAACTCCAACTCAAAAAAAGAAAATCATAAGGGCCGGGCATGGTGGCTCATGCCTGTAATCCCAGCACTTTAGGAGACCAAGGTGGGAGGATTGCTTGAGCCCAGGAGTTCAAGACCAGCCTGGGCAACATAGTGACACTTCATCTACACAAAAAATTTAGTCAGGTGTGGTGGTGTGCACCTGTAGTCCCAGCTACTATGGAGGTTGAGGCAGAAGGATCGCCTGAGCCCAGGAGGTTGAGGAGGTTGAGGCTGCGGTGATCATGCCACTGCACTCCAGCCAACAAGCTCAAAAAAAGAAAAAGAAAATCCTAAGGAAGGGAAAATATACTTACTGTTCATCAAGTGGAAGTGTGTCATCATAAAGGTATCCATCCCTGTCCTCATGCTGAGGTGGCTGAAGGGAAGGAGGAGGGGCTGAACTTGCTGCTTGTAATTTTTATTGAAAAAAATCAGTATATAATAGGACCTACATGGTTCAAACCTGTGTTCAGGGATCAAGTATACTTCACTCCTGCAACAAATAACTACGGGACAGCTCTGTGTAGGCACCTGCTTGTCTCTGTTGAGCCGTGGAAGAGAGGGAGCAGCAGTGAGGAGGCCTGTGAATGCACGTGGATTTGTACGTCTACAGCCAGTGTGCCACACTGCTGGCACAGAGAGGGTCAACCCCCCATCTTCCACAGTAGGGAAGGCGCCCTAGAGGTAGCAGTGTCCACACTGAATCCTGGAGGAGTGTGATGACCAGGGAGGATGGGCCATTGGGGATCTGCGGGTTGCTGTGTAGTGTGTCCCGATGTTTCTACTTGAAGCTATTTGGTTGATTCCAAGGCTTCTACCATGTATGGGTGTTTTTAAGCGAAACTCTGTACCTTTGAATATCTTTTAAATGAAAGCAAGCTCATTTGGTAGTATTTTTATTAATGGGCCCACCGTCATCTTTCTCCACCAAATGTGTTGGTCATTCTAAGGCCTGCAGAATTTGTGGCATAAATTGAAACACTTGAAACTGCTGAACTGAAAGGAAGAGCGAGTGGTCGTCAGTTCCATGTGAGTTGGATTCTGTGTGTGGCTTGAACAAAGATGCACAACTTCTCTGTGTCTCACGTCGACCATCTGGAAAATGGAACTAAAAACATGCATTCATTCTTCTTGGTAGAGAGGGCACGGGGCCAACTCTCGACACATGAGAAAGCAGTTTTTGTAAGAAAGACTTGGAATAATCTGCCCGAGGCATGTGGGACCACTGGGGCACCCATGGGGCGCCATTCCCTGATGAGAGCAAAGCACATTGCAGACTGTCTCTCTGAGTGGGAGTGTAGAAAGTGTGCATTCTGGAGACAGTACAGTTCAGCACACAGGTAGATACAGTGGGGGCGGGGGGGAGAGGCCACAGGGCCACAAAGTGCGTGCCTCTCTTGTTCTTACTTTACGCTAGGTAGGGATCCTGAGGCTTAGAGTTTACCTGCCCAGTGTCATTCAGTTCATAAGTGACACAGCCTCAACCTGGTCTTCAGACTTCAGGCCTAGAATTGTATTGAGTATATCCAAAGCCAATAATCCTTCATTTGGTGAGAAAAGTGCTGTACAGACGGAAGTGGTGGTACTTAGCTGGAACTAGAGTAAAGGTAAAGTCTTTAACTTCGAAGTGGAAGCTCCCTGGTGGCCTCCTGGCTGTCTCCCCATGCCCTAGAATAGAAAGAAATCCTTTTATTTACCTTAGGACTTAAGAAAGAAAGCTTTTCACTTCCGTTCTGTGTTCCAGGAAATAGAAGGCCAGATGGACGGGGCTTATTCTTAACAGCTGTTCAGTAATCCACCCCTCTCAGCCAGGGCCTGTGGGCACGAGGAATGGCCCCATGTGGGTCTTCTCCAGGATTCTGTTTATAGGGCCACCAGTCGGATCTCGGGCTTAGAAAAATCTTCAGAGACAGAAATTGAAAACACACCACTGGTGCTCAGCAAATTGGGATGACAACAGAATTGAAAGCCTGACTCAGGAGACAGTCTGATACAGAGGAAGCATCAAGAATACAGGCAGGGTGTTTAGAAATTCAGGTCCTGAGACTTCCCTGAGGAGAAGAAACACACCCGTTCCCAGGGTGGAACACATTGGCGATGTGGGGCTTAAAATTTTTTTCTGACTCCCTGGGAGTATGGAGGAAAAGAGTTATGGGAATGGTGTTAGGGACTGGTGGTGGGAGGGTGGATTTAAATGGGCGCACAAAAGGCTTGCCTCCCAGTACAGTGGAATCTAAACAATCTGAAGTAGTTCAGGCTCGAGCTGGCATGTGCTTCCGAACTGCCACCCACTGAACAGAGCAAGGGCTGTTCCACTCGGAGACCTCTCCCCTTGGAGTGAAACTGAGAATCCAAGGAGCTGTGACTTAGTTTCAGGGAACTACCTTGTTTGACGTTTTCCCTTAGCAATGAAGGTTGAATTAGAGGACCGTTTATCGTCATGATAGTTCATGTGTCTTTCTTCCCCCTCACTTAGAAAATCTGGGTTTTTTTCTGAGATTGGGAAAGGGACTTTATTGCTTCACAGAAATGTAGATGGGCAAGGAAGGTGGTCCTCCCTAGTGGATTCACCTTTGTAGGGCGGAGAACCCTTTGCTGAACTTTGCTTGTACTCCAGGGTTCAGTCTCATGCATTTTTCTTGTTAGGTTTGTTTGTGTTCCTGCCTGAACACCATCGTGCTCAGTTTCTGACTTTCCTATTTTGACAGAGATGTGTGTGCGGACCCAAGCCACGCAGATGCTGGTACCTCTAACTCCGTCATCCCAGAGCACCTCACGTCTGGCCCCCAGCACAGGAAAACAGCATGGTCAGGAGGGGTTAAACTTCGGCTGAAGCACAGGTAAGAGGCATAGAGGTCAGTGCTGAGCAGTTCAGAAGAATTTGCTCCTAAGAGTGAGGCAGCTACTGCAAGAGGGAACTGGGACAAGGACTGCAAAAGGCTGGCCAGAGAGAGGAAAGGTCAGAACAAGGAGGTAGAAGAGAAACTCAGAGTTCAGAAAGTGACGATTCTCATGGCAGTTTTCACACTAGTTTTGAAGAACTCTAAAGCTTCTGGGACCCCACGAACAATTTGATTCAGATGTTTGCAAAATGTATTTATAGTAGTTTTTAAAACTACAATTTAAAACATTCAAAGTGATATACCAAGGGTTAGCACTTTGGAAGCAGTTGGTGTTAAATGGTACAGCAAGATTAATTCATCTTTGAACGATCTCCATTTAAACTTCTCTAACTGAGGAGTGTCCTGAGAATTTGATGCCTGCCTGACCAAGATTGTGGCTGCCTACTCGTGTGTGGTAGATTCGGAGGGTGCTCCCTGTGCAGTGGTGTGTCTCCTTAAATTCTCACTCACTGAACATTGTGCTAAGTGTTCAGCAGTTTTTGAGCAAAAACAGCGTAACCCCCATGCCCCACCCTCTCTATTCATCTGATCTTGCCCCAAGTGACTGTTTCCCTGATGGAAAAAGTCCTCAGAGGGAAAAGTTTTGCTGATATGAAAGAGGTGAAACAAAAAAACAGCAGAAGCACTAAAAGGCATCAAAATTGACAAGTTCAAACACTGTTTTGAGTGGTGGAAAAAGTGTCTCAATAGGTGTATTGCATCAGACGGAGAGTAATGGGTAAGCACATTGAAAGGATCTCCAAAAAATGCACTGAAGCTCAACACAGCCTCTCCCAAAAATGCTAGCAGGCACAATGGTGCCGGATTTCTAGAACACTCACCTAGTGGGGAAAGCCTGCACTACAAGGGACCTGTCCAAAAAATAATTCTTTTTTTTTTTTTGGTTCCTATCTGTAAAATGAGTTTAATAATTGTTCTAACACCTAGGACTGCTAAAAAGACTGAAAGAGCTAATACATGTCAAACTCTTAGAGCTGTGTCTGGCATGTCATGAGTACAGTCAGTGTTGGTCATCATTGTGACTAATTATCCTGGTTTCATTTTGGGGAGCTTTTTCATCTAGACATGTTGATTTGCATTCTAAATAAGTGAACATACATTTGGATTTATGCAATGAAAATTTGCGTATTTGGATTATCCATGTTCATAGATATGCAAATATACATGAAAGAATTGGTTATATTTCATGTAGTAAAACAGTACTTGTATTTGATGTTTACATTAAGATTGATAGCTATCACCTGAAAAAAATTTAGGTACTGGCTGAAAAATGAAGGCATCTCAAGGAATATAAATTTTGAGCAATTCTGTTTTTCATGTACTTAAAATGTTGTAAAGGAATTTTTAAAAAGCTCCAGTGACTATCCGCAAATAACAGTATTAGAGGAGTTTATTAAATCATACAAACTAAAAAAAAGATTTAAAAGAAGTTTGAACACACCAAGGTCTAGAGAAGCCAACTGTCTGGCGTCCAAGGGTCAGGCCAGGTATAGGGTAAGATTTGCAGAGATCTCTGACTCGAGATCTTCTGGCAAGGTTGCCCTAAAGACACCCTGGAGAAGCAGAGGCTCCTAGGTTACCACTGCTCTCTTTAGCCTACAAGGGTCTTTAAAACATAGAGAATCAAAGCCTTCTCTCTAACGAGAGTCTGTTGGGCTACACAGATTAATCTCGTGTTGGTGCCAGAGTGCTCAGGGTCAGAAAGTAGCACTAGGAAGCTACTGCTCTAGCCTGGCAGGGACATGATTGAGACCGGAACTGAATCATGGTGACAGGGCAAGAGATGAGACAGATTTGACATGAATTTAGAGAGGCAGAATCAATGGCAGAGGGTAGGCGAAGGGAGAAGAAAAGTTGGCGTAACTGCTACGTTTCTGCTGTGGGTTATCTGTGGGGCTATTAGCCAGGATGGGTGGGCAGGAGGAGCAGAGGCTGATGGGGGGGGGTACAAGCATCAGCACTCGAGTCACCAGACCTGGGTTGGAGCTTGAAACAATTAAGATATATTTTAAAGCAGTCCCTAAAAGTTGAATGAAGAGTGGCCTAAATGCATGTCTACTTGGTACCCTAACCACAAAGAGGTTGCGGGGCTGTCCTCATAAGTGTAGTCAGAGCCAGCCTGCGTGAAGGAGAATAGAAGGGAGCAGGTGGGCAAGGCATTTCCTTTTTAAAAAGCCATGAGCCGGATGGCACGTCCGTTGCTCCTGCTGGAATTTTCATTCTAAACACTAAGAATTGTGTGTGTGTCATGTGTCCATAACTACAATCATGTGTTGCTTAATGGCAGGGATACATTCTAAGAAATGTGTCGTTTGGGGATTTGTTGTTGTGTGAACGTCCCTGAGTGCTTGCATACCTAGATGACGGAACCTACTGTACACTTAGGCTGTGTGGTGCAGCCTATTGCTCCTAGGCTACAGACCTGTGCAGCACATCACTATACTGAATATGGCAGGCAATTGGAACACCATGGTAAATATCTGTGTATCTAAACACAGCAAAGGCATAATTAAAATACCATCTAAAAGGTAAGAAATGGCCCACCTGCACAGGACACTCATCATGAATGGAGCTTGCAGGACTGGAAGCTTCTCTGGGTGAGTCATTGAGTGGGTGGTGAGTGAATGTGAAGGCCCACAACATGACTGCACACTCCTGTAGACTTTAGAAACTCTGTACTCTCAGGCAAACTACATTTATTTACAGTTTTTTTCTTTCTTTTATACATTAACCATAGCTTATTGGACATTTTTTACTTTATAAACTTTTTCATTTTTTAAAAACTTTGCACTCGATTGTAATAACACTTAGCTTAAAACACAAACACATTGTACAGCTGTACAAATATGTTTTCTTTATATCCTTGTTCTGTAAGCTTTTTTCTATTCAAATTTTGTTTTAACTTTTAAAACTTTTTTTGCTAAAAAGTAAGACACACACACACATACACATTAACCTAGATCAGCATAGGGTCTGGATCATCCATGTCGCCATCTTCTACCTCCCTGTCTTGGCCCACTGGAAGGTCTTCAGTGGCAATAGCCCGCATGGAGCTGGCATCTCCTGTGCCGACAATCCTTCTTCTAGAATACTTTCAGAAGGCCTTGCCTCAGGCAGTTTTACAAATCACTTTTTTAAATAAGTAGAAGGAGTACACTCTAAAATAACAATTAAAATATAGTATAGTAAATACACAAACTAAAAACATAAATTTATCAAGTATTATGAACTGAGTGTGACTGTATGCACTATACTTATATGCGTATATACTTATATAAGTATACTTATATACTTATATACTTATGGCAGTACAGTGAGTTTGTTTATGCTAACGTCATCAAAAAACACTTGTGTGACCACTACAGCAGTAGGTTTTGGGAATTTCAGCCCCATTGTAATCCCTGTGGGGCCACCATCATGTATGTGGTCTATCATAGACCAAGACATCATTATGCGGTGCATGACTGTGTACTGTAATCAGCCCCTCTGTTAGTCTACCTTCAGACTCTTCCCCCCAAAGGTCTCTCTGCAACCCGTGTTACTGATATGGGACTAAACTAGGAAATTGGAGTTGTTCTCATCTAATTACATTCAGATCCTAAGCCCAAACTTTTTTTTTGTTTTGAAATCACTTTAGATTCATAGAAAAGTTGTAAATACAGTACAGTTTTCTTGTACACCTGTCACCCAGCTTTCTCTAATGTTAACATCTTTTATAACAATTGCATAAATATCAAAACTAAGAAATCAACATTGGTATAATACTACCAACTACAGACTTTAAAACTTTATAAACTATAGACTTTATTCAGATTTCACCATTTTTTCCCCACTAATGTCCTTTTGCTGTTCTGGGATCCCACATTGTGTTAACTGTCATGTTTCTTTAGTTTCCTCTAATCTGTGACATTCCCTCAGTCTTTCCTTGGCTTTTAAGAGCTTGACACTTTGGAAGAGTACTAGCCAGTTATCTTGTAGAATGCCTTCTATTTGGGTGTGTCTGATGTTTTCTCCTGGTTCGATTGAGGTTATGCTTTTTTGGCAAGAAAACCACAGAAGTGATGTTGTGTCCTTAGGTATCATATCAGGGGTTACATGATGTCAATTATGTTTCATGATTGATGGTGTTAATCTTGAGTACTTGGTAACCTGGTGAAGTCTGCCAGGTTTCTTCACTTAAAGTTACTGTTTGTTCCTTTGTAATTAATAAATAACTTTTAGAGAGATAACTTTGAGGCTACACAAATATCCTGTTTCTTCTCAAACGTCTCTACTGATTTCATCTATTTGTCAATACTGCCTTGACAACTATTACTGTAATATTCTAAATTTGAATCTGTATTTCCTTCATTTCTTCTACACTTATTAATTAGAATTCTTCTGTAAGGGAGAACAGTCTCTTCTCCATTTATGTGTTTATTCAATTATTGGTTTATATCATTAAGGACTATTTCATATTTATTTTATTCTGTGGGTTATAATTCACTACTACTATTATTTATTTTGTTGCTCAAATTGTTCTTGTTTTGACCTTTGGGAGCGTTTTCAGGCTGACTGTGGCTAAATCCTATTTGGAAATGTGGACAGGAGTGAGGTGGTGGAAAATTTTCCAGATATCTTTCCAGATATTCCTCTTACACGTGGAGAAAGCAGACCATGATGTACTTATCATCTTAAGAGTCTTAGAGGTGTTGAGGTGGAAGGTTAGTCATGGGCAGTGAGCAAGTCTCATCTGTGACATGTCACTAAGGCCTGTCTTCTTGCTTTTAGAGTTGGAAAGTGCTGGGGTCACCTCATGAACCAATTCCAAGTCCAGTGGGTCACAGGTATAAATAGCTCTGTCCTTATGGAGAAACAGCCAGAAAGGATTTTCTTACTTCTCTATAAGAAAAGAGAATGAGCAAGAGGGAAGAGCTCCCTTTCCCAAGGTGCCTACA